TTCTTGACATCGAAATTTGAGAGATTCTGAAACCCATTTGAAGAATGGTGTTGGAGATGGAAATCGTCGCGATTCGAGAGGGTCAGGCCCTGGAATTGGTGGGAGGAGGAGACGAGAAAATGGTCGACAGAATTGGAATTGGAATCATCGGCGGCGAGTGGTTGTTCTTGATCGGAAATAACTTGGAGAATGTCGATGGCGGAATCGGAGAGATTGGGGGAATACGGATCGGAGAAGAATTGGAGCTCTGCATCGGAGGGGAACACCAAATCGGAGGTCGAGCAGCGGAACAGACCAGAAGATGAAGAATCGTCGTGAACGAACAGATCAGAAGAAGACATGGAAATCAAAACCAAAACAAGAAAAAAAGAGTGCCTGGATTATCTGTTCCTTCAGTGGGCGTTTTTGTTTATTTAAACGACCCAGAAGAAGAAGAAGAAGAAGAAGAAACGATGGCGGAATTGGGAAATGAAAATGGTTCTCCGTTGTTGTTCTTCTTTCTCTAGAAATCTGTTGCGTGAGTGTTTGGATTGAGAGGAAGCAGATGGGTGTGAGGGAGAGACGCCATTTGTAGTGGGCTATAAAAAGACCCTCACTTTGCAAATAGATGCCATCAACTCATCAACTAACCTTCCCATTTTTCTTTTTCTTATTAAATTAATCAATAAATTACCAATTTTCTAAAATCATAATAATAATTCAATTCATTTTAAGTTTTAGACCTTGTTGTTTTCTTTTGCTGCCTCAACTCTCGAGTTTCTACTGATTTCATACATTTGGTTTTCGTTACTGGATTTTTGTATGAAAACTGTTTTAGACTATCGTTAACTTCTTTTCTTTTCTTTTTTCTTTCTCCTAAATTAATTATTTAACGGAGTAGATCTTTTGTTCCTTGATTGTTAGATGTTTGTGCTGATTTCGAGTGTATTTAGATTTTTTAGTTAAATTATTTGTGAAAGATTATTGGTATAGTTCCGTAACAAGTCTACTTAATTGCAAATTTAACACCGACATTTTGGATTTGCAAGTATAGTCCATCAAATAAAGTTCAAACTCCCTCACGGAGAGACTAAAATAGCCTTCAAACATTTATCAATCTATCAATGTAGATTATGGGTGTGTTAGTGATGGTATAAGGAAAAGGAAATTTATGTATAATTAATTTTCTAAAATCAACATCCAAATACCTAGTTCTTTTAAACGTTATTAAAATTATTTTTTTTTTAATTTACTAAACATGATGAATAGAAATAGAAGTAATTTTGACCATGGCAAAAGTGATTCCGGTCGTACCAAAATCATTCCTAAACACACCCTATATCATTGATAGACGTCAATCACTTATAGACTTACAGTAATAAGAGGCGTCGCTTTACTAATGGACGCCTATCAATAATATAATATATTACTAATAAATTAATAGAGGTAAACTAGTGATATATTAGATAAAAAAGAATTATGTAAAAATGTCTAATGAGGGGCATAAATTTCTTTTAAAATTATTATATTTTAAAAATTATAATTATGTGCTATATTTGTAAATATGACCCTTAATTAGACAGCTTTGAAATTTTCTTATTTATTTAAAAGTTTAGAGATTAAAATWAAATTTAAACCTATAATTCAGGTTTAATATTAAATAAATAATAAATGATATATATTTTCCATTTTAAGGTATAATTTTTTTCTTTTTACTTTTTATACTATTTTATTGGAAAATAAATCAAAATTTATATCCTTAGAAAGAGTATATGAAATTTCATCATAAATTTTTAATTTTATTAAATTCAACTCTAAACTAAGACAAGTGTTAGCTATTTATACGTTTTTTTATTTATGTTAATTCACTCACTAATTTACAAAAAATAATATAAAAATTTCCAAAAAAGACTACCCTACTTTTATTTTTCTCTAAAATGTAATCAAATAAAGTGAGAGTATATTTATTTTAACGATCCCCGGACAAAAAAACCTATAAAAAAATTATCATACTTATTTAAGTCTTAAGTACAATATTTGTCCTAAGTGCAAAGTTCAATTGAAAAACACAAGTTGAAACTTTAGAAATTTAAGAAAAAATAGTTAACCAATTTACCTTGTTAATTTCTAGAGTGTAAATCAGTAAAATTAATTAAACTCAAGATATTTCAAAATTTCTCTTGATCTTTTAAATTTAAGTTAATTGGAAATACCTAAACACAAATATATGGATATAAAAACACAAATATTGGCAATAACTTCAAAAGGATTATTTTATTCTCATTTGAGTTTTGTTTTTTTTAAATTTTAAGGACCAATTAAAACTTTTTTTTTAATAAAAGGATTGAGACGAATCCAGGATTCTTTGTGGATGATCAACAACATGTCTTTTTATTGAACACAATTTTGTAATTAACAAAAAATAAAATAAAATTGCATATTTATTTATTTAGGTGTGTATCTATATTTAAGGGCAAAACAAGAGGAGAAACAATTATCACCTTTTTAAAAGAATATATAAAAAATTAAGATTTTAAATCTTTTTTTTTTTATTTTTTTAAATATAAAAGATTATATAAATAAATTTAGAAGGTAGAATTATGTCATTGTGGATTTGTAGACAGTACATATCTTTTGTTTTCTTTTGTATGTAATTGGCAATTTATTTGTAAAATAATAGAAACACTAATCATTTTATTTTTAATTTTTAATTGTTAAAAATTATATTTCTTTTTCTATGATTCAATGGGTAAGTTTTTCACACTATTTGAAAACATATTCGAATTGTTTGTTAAATTAAAAAAAAATTGAAAATTACTTTTTTACTTTTCAAAAGTTTGCCTAGGTTTTGAAAATATTTACAAAATTTATATAACAAAATAAATGAATAAATAGTGAAAATAATGTTTCTAAACTTAATTTTTAAAAACAAGAAAAAAATGATTTGAAGTGGAGCTTAGCAAATAATTAATTTTCAAAAAAAAAATCTTTCAAAAAAGTAATAACAAAAACAAAATTTATTTTCTCATCCTATTTTTCAAAAATAGTACAATCCAAAAATCAATTCCACCCAAATTTAAATCACTTCAATTTCAATTGAACATATTTTTATTTTTATTATTTTTTTCCTTTCCCGACAAGTCAATTTGATTTAGTTACAAACTTGTTCAATTTGGTTTCAGTTTAAATAAATCAAATCCCAATAGATTGAGTTGACTTGACTCACGAGTTCACCTAAAATTATGCATTTGAACAAAACTGACTAATTTTATTAATTAAAAAATAAACAATATATCTCTTATCGATTTGATTCCACTTCATCACTTTTTCAGAACATTTATTCTCTAACCATTTTTATAAAATAATTGGTCGAAATTATTAGAGTATTGTTTTTCATAAAATATAAAATATCATGCTAAATTATGAATAGATCATTTTTCAATAATGTTTCAATTTTACTTTGAAACTTAGAAAAAATCTAATAATTGTCAAACAGGCCTACAAAAAAGATGAATGGTTATACAAATCGCGATTGTTCTGGTTTTATTTTTAACTGGACCGATGAATAGGATAAATATTTAACATGTAATTGTCCATTCGAGAATAGTTCAAAGAAATAGATATTTATTACCATCTTAAAAGTCAATGATTTATTCCTCCACCCTATCATTGTTCGAGGACGTGATTGAGGCAGTAAAAAACTGTCACATCAGGTAGGGTGAAAGCATTCGAACTCATGACTTCTTGGTCAGAGACATGTGTCAATTACCGTTGAGCTAAGTTAATGTTGTCGAAAAGGTTAAAATTATTAACAAAATAATAACTCAATGTAATAATTTGATAAAATAGACTTATTGTCCACGAGATAAATGTCAATTACCGTTGAGCTAAGCACATGTGAGTATATATATATATTTATATAACTTATTCATATTAGTTGTTATAAAAAAAACAATTGACCTATTAAAATGTTGGTCCATTGACAACTTACAAAAGATATCATTTGGAAAGTTAGTTATTGTCATTCTTATGACATGTAATGTTTCGTTTCTGTTTCTTTATTTTTAATGAAGAAAAATGTGTTGCACGGTTTCAAGTAGGATAAAACAAGTTTTTATTTATGTTTTGGAACAAATTGGAAATGGAACCAAAAAAGAGAGACTTGTTTTGATTGTTGTCAAAATTTCTATACAATTGTGAGAATGTTCCAAAAAAATGAAAAACAAGAAACAGAAATTAGTTGTAAAATACTTAGATTTTTTAAGAAAATTAGAAACGAAAAATAAAAAATGAAAACGTTACCAAACAAACCCTCAGTGATTGAAACTTGAATAAAAATTATTTATTACTTTAAAAGGGATATGAACTCAAGTTTTTAAGAATCAAGAAAAGGTGGAAAAAATATAGTCTGCCATATTGCTTTTAAGTACTAAGAAACCCCAATGCCCAACCACTATTATAAAATGTTTTTAATTCCTTTAAAGATTTTCCAATTTGGTCTTTAATTCTTAAATTTAACTTTAATGGATTACAAATTTTCAATGAAGTCCTTCCATAAAAAGATAGGTTAAAATTTGTTAATAAATATCTAATGTGTCATTAAATTATTGTTTGGTTAATATATTTGAATACGTGGGTATGCCATTTTAACATGACACTTGGAAGAAAGAAACTTTATTGATGAACGGGTCAAGTTTTATTTATAGATGGTTGAGTTTCATGGGTCACACAACATCTAAGTGGCATATTTCATGTGTCCAAATACGTTAATAAAACAATAATTTTATGACACATCAACTTTTTGTTAATCTAAGCCTAATTAAACCGATTAAGACACCTATTTCTATGATTCGTAATTAAACCAACACGTCGTGAGATTGAATCTCCACTTCTACATGTGATACTAAAAAAATTTTGTCAACAAATTTCGCAACAAAAAAAATTGTAATGATTTGATTGAGGTTTTTTATACATATACATTAAAGGTAAAATTAATAATTTAAAAGATAAAGAAACAAATCGAGAATCACATAAATTCCTTTTGTCTAGATATGAAATTAGAAAGTATTTCGCGCTCTTTTTTTAAGAAAAAAAAAACTATTGTAATTAGTTTTATTTCAATTGAAATTTCACAAAATCCAACCACTATGTTTATGCAAGGATTTGCACAACAGTGTGTTCCTGATTGTAGCTCGAACTCGGCCTCCGGACCGACCTGAACACTTGGGCGGACCTGCACAAAAAGGTGAGCACTCCGACGATCAAGTCAGTATAGGTCGGATTCCAAGTTTAGTTCGAAGCCAGAGATCATCGTCCCTGATCGGGGAGTGAGATCCTCTACTTATGGGTGGTGGTCCCGCTAATCTCACGACGGTTACATTCGGTAATCTCGGGACCGTCGGTTACACCCGGTGATCTCGGGACCGACGGTTACGCCCGATAATCACGCCGCAGACAGTTGCTCACATCGGCCCCTACCGAGCTCCCCGGTAGGTCGGACCTGGGCCAGGTTCACCTCGGCCCTCATACTTAGCTTTCGTCGGCGTTGGTGGCAGCCATCTCGGCTATCCGAGCTGGGATGACTCATGAGCCATCTTGGAGCACCAATGGGGGTCCTCCACGTGTCCAGGGTATTCCCTTCCCCAAACACACTAAAAATTGGATTTTTTACTAAGACATCGTATCCATGTAAGAGTAAAATGTCCGAATCTCCCCACTAAATGAAAAAAAGAAAAAAAAAAAAGTTTCAAATCTTTTTATCTTAAACTGTATAACAGACAAAAGAACTTCAAGAAATGGGCCAATATCCACTTCATTTGAGTTGAGAAGTTTGGGCCAAGAAAAATGTTTGGTCCACAAGTGATGGCAGCCCCCCATAATCTTTCCTACTAATCAACAAATAATGTAGAGCTGCTAATTTTATAAAAATACCAAACAATTAAAATAATTTTTTGACATAACATTTGTCTTGTTATATGAATACAATTTGTCTACATTTTTTGTGTTCTAATCAGTTGGAAAAATCTCTATCTTCTATAATTTGGATTCCGTTTTATCTAAAAAATTCAAAATAAAAAGATATAAGATTTTTCCTAAAAATATATCCTTTTTTTAGTACAATATGTAGGGTTGGGGAATCGAACTCACAATCCCTTGGTTAGAGGTATATGTCAATTATCGATGAGTTATGCTTGCTTTGATTAGAAAGATATCCTATTAACTCTAGGTTTTCCTTTATAGCTGAAAAATACTCATATAATTGAGGTATGTTACAGAACTCTACTCGTTGTTACGCTCCAAATTAAATCCCGATTATGTAAGTTTAATTGATCTTTTTTATTCCATAAGAATGGTGCAAATTTAGTAATCTTAATAAATCAAATTTATCCATCTAACTACTATAATATTTAAATTGAGTAAAATAATTATTTAGAATGGTCGGGGATTTAGGCTTAATTTTAACCATTTAATAATTGATGTTTATTATAGATGAACATTATCAAATAAATTTTACGAGATATATTATTACTGAACAAATTCATAAGGTCGTGTCTTTTAAATCTATAACATTTAAGTCCAACCTATATGAACCAAATAACTTCGATTCAAGAAAGTAAGCCTAAATTTATTTTTAGAATTAAAAAAAAAATTCATTACTATTGATTTGGCTGGCGCATATTCTTGTATTTAAGTAATTTACATTTTTATATGAAAAACCTTACTTAATAAAACAAAAGCCAATTTAATTTAATTGTGAAATAGGAAAATAAAAACATCGTTAAAAATAATGTACAGCTAAAAATTAAATACATGGCCCTACTTGACCATCTTTTTAATCCCATGACCATATACACTAAGCTTTTGAAATTCAAACTTCTTACACAAAAGAATATACAATTTAAAAGAATACTACAATAACATTAAAAACATTTCATATTATCATTATTTATGTTTGTTATTTGAACATAACTCAACTGGTTAAGACATATTTTTATTATTTGAACATAACTCAACTGGTAAGACATATTTTCTCACCAAAAGATTGAGTTTGAATCTCCACTCCCCACATATTTGTTGTACTAAAAAAAGTAATGCAAGATCTTATTAAAAAAAAAAATATTTTGGTCAATATACATTTAGATTTCGTGTACTTTTAAAATGTTCATTTTTGTTTATGTACTTTCAATTTTTGTCTATTTTAGTGCCTATACTTTTGAAACATTAATTTTAATCTTTGTAATTTTAAAAAGTGATTGTTTTAGTCGTCTCTTCATTTTATTTTTTATCTCATTTTTAATCCCAATTTAAAGTTAGGTATAGAATTTGTGTTAAGCTAACACCAAAATGAATGTTTTAAAAGTACAATGATTAATTTGAATTGAACTTGATAGTCCAAAAAGTAGAATGAACATTTTAAGAATAGAGAGACCAAAATGAATCAAAGTCGAAATAAAAAAAAATGGTATAAAATTAAAAAAATAAGAAAGTTATCCATTAGATAAGGGATGGAGAAGATTATTCATATATATATAATATATTCCACGAGAGGAGGTGGGTGTTCAATTTTGATCCATAAAATGGAATGGATTGTCCTTTGGGATGATGGCCTTTTATAAGTGTTTGCAGGGACTGCTTCTTCATTTACAGGGCATCACATGTCTCCCATTTTCATCCTCATTCATTTCACCTATTTTTTCTTTCTTTCTTTTCGATCCCATTTCTAACGTTCTCGTTTTTCTTTTCTTTTCTTTTCTTTCTTCTTTTTAAAAATGAAAAATGTAATTGTATTTAATAACTGTTCTTGTTATTATTTTTATTAAAAAAAGAAACAGAAATGTTTTAGATAAGTTTTGCTTTTGTTTGTTGTTTGCTCAAATATTATATTTAAAAAATTCACATAAAATTTGACTTTTTTGAAATATTTATTATACATTTTATACGAATAATACTTTTATTTATGTTTTTCAAATACAAAAATAAGAAACTAGATTTTGTTGTTCGAGAATTTACAAAAGAAAAAATATGTATATTGGTTTGTAAAAAACTAAAATTAAAAAACAAACATTATTAAAATACATCTTTGTTATTTCAAATCTAAAAATCAGAAATGTTGTGATTCTAGTTTAGATGCAACTACACTTCTCCAAAAGTTGTTTTTCATTGGATTAAAATTACAAACTATTGTTTTCCTATCAGAATGGTTCATTGCAAATTAGTTTGTATCATGTGTATCAATTTCATTAATAATTAACTATTAGTTTGGACGAAAGGGGAAAATGAACAAAAAAAATAAGCGTAAAGTATTTAGAATTTAAAAATATATTAGTATTACAATTAATTATTTCCAATTTTGAAGCATCAAGGTTTATTGAGTCAAATTTCACCTTCAACTTTTATTGGAGTTGAATTGTCATTTATTTGAAATTTGGAATTCCATTCATTGCCGTAAATAGAGAAAAAAATATTCATAATTAACATACGCAAAATCTTACTTTCTGCTCTACTTCTTTTAAAACCCTGATTTAAAATATCCAAGAAATGTGACTTAAGTCTATTCTCTTTTATTCTAAAAAAGTTGATGCAAATTTGATAACCATAAAATTTAGGTAACTCAACTCAAACCTAAAGTTTCTCAAATCTAGGAGTCAAGCGGAGTAAAATATAACTAAAATCAATAACCAAATGTCCAAATCTAGCTTACTATAAGAATAATATTTATTCAATTTCAAAATTTAATTTAAAAATTGAGTTATTGATCCAATTACCCTGAACGAGGAGATCATTAGATATACAAAAATGGTGCTTACCATCAATCGCGATGGCAAAGAAAGAGAGAAAAGTATACAAATTATACAAATCGTTAAATTTCCAAAATAATCCATTTACTGTATTGATTGTTCTGTAATAATGTTAGAGTGACAGAGAGGGGAAATGGAAATTTACAAGAAAATGATCTAATTCTGAGACCTGTAATTCATTTGATTTGATTTGATTTTCCAGTTCCTTTTAGGAACTTTTTTTTTTCCGTATGTACAGAAGAACAGCAAACATTTCTCATTCACCACACTCAATCAATTCATCCCCCTTTCCCCTGCCTCTTTCTTTTTTTTTTTCATTTGTTTTTCGTTTCTTTCTTTATTTCTTGTTTCCGATATATAGATTCCAAGCAGCAAAATCAACAAAAGAAAAATCAAATCTCTGAGAGCTACGAACCAGCGGTGAGAAGAGACGAAGAAGAAGAAGAAGAATCGCCGTGGTGGAGTAGTAGTTCAAAGATTTCCGAATCCTCCTCCCAAATCCTCTCGTCGCTATCGCTACAACCACCGCTCCGCAAATCGGCCGGAATAAACACCGTCCGGCAGAGCGGGCACGTCCTCTGGCCGTATCCGATCCACCGATCGAGGCATCCGCGGTGGAATATGTGGCGGCAGTTCGCCAGGCGCCGGATCTCGTCGTCCGCCTCGAACTCGTACAGGCACACGGCGCAGCTCTCCGGCGGCTCCAAAAGCTCCGAGAACTTCACCACCGGCAGAATCTCGCGCAGGACGGCGGCGGAGACTGGATCGAGGTCTGACGACGGCCCCGTCGGGAAGAAATCCGCCTGATTAGGCCATGGAATGTCCGGTTCGAGGAAATCTTGGAGCCCTAGAAGGCGGAAGAGGACGGAAATTAGCTTCCGGAGGAGGCCGAGCAAGGAGAGTACGTGGATGAAGAGCTTCGGAAGCAGAAGCTCCGTATAGCTCGCAGGGAAACCCATGGCCGAACTCTGAACCAGAAGAGAGAGAGAACTTGATGATTAATGGAATAATGCCGTGAGAATGACGGCCAATTCGTATTTATAGACCAACGCAATTTCTAAAAACAATTTAAAAAAAAATAATCACAGTTTTTTATTTATCAGAAAAAAAAAACATTATCTTATACTCTATGCATTAAATTAACTGTCAAAAATACTTCTTATTCCTTTTTTTTTTAGGTAAAATAATAAAACATTTAACAAAATTAGTTCATAAACGAAGATAGAACCCACAAAGAGGCATTAGTTATGGGTGCGAGCATAATTCGTTGGAGTTGATTTTTAGGCCAAAGAAAAACCAACAAATTTCTTATTGATAAAACCCATCAAACTTATCCAAAACTAACTTTTTTTTTTAATTATTTTTTTTTTATTTTGGCTGCCCAATTATTCCTAATACAGTTAACACTAATATCTTACTTTATGCTTAGGTTAATGTTGAGTTTGTAAGTCCTCCGTTGGCTAAAGAACAGCATGATTCATAATATATAAGAGAGGACAATTATCTTCTTGGTATAAGATCTTTTGGGTGAAACCAAAAGCAAAACCGTGAATGCTATGCATTGGGGTACTTAGGGTACCGTTGTCGTGAACGGTTAACAAACAATGATCTTGAATTAATTTGTATTATTTAGATTAAAAAAAAGAATGGGGAAGAAATTTCTTGAATTGCCTTCCACTTTTGGTATGACCCCTCTAAGAAATAATAATGTGTACAATCTATGAAGAGAGAGTTATGGGCCCAAAAAGAGAGAAAAAAGGGAGGGTGATGGTGTTGAAAAGAAAAGTCCTACATTTAGGGGTTGTAGTCCTAAAGGGTAACCCCACACACCATCATCTATAGCTATAGGAAGGTCACCTTAAGTGATATAATTGTGGGGCACTCTGAATTATAACAAATCAAATGGGAAACACAATGTATTATTTTATCATTCTCTTTCAAACTACACTTCAACATCAACTATACACTATCGAGGGTTTCAACGAAAAATTCTTTCAACATTATTTCAGCTAAATTATTTGAGATATAGTGTGTAAAATAATCGACCGTCCATATATATACACAATTCGATTTTAAGAACGACATCATTTATACTAAGCTATTTGTTTGATCCTCTTTTTATAGATAAATTGTAAAACTTTTTCGCATCAATTTTGGATTTTTATGGAGAAGGGTATTTCATTGGTTTGTTTTGAATTTGAATTTAGAATGATTACAGGAAAGAAAAAAAAAATCTTTAAATCAAAGGGGTGATAAAATGGAAATAGGAGCAAATATAATTTATGATTAAATTATATAATTTTATCACTTATTAGTTTCTTTTACTCCACTAAATTTTTAAATTTTATTTTAGTCCTCTCCATATATTAACATTCATTGGGTTCCATCCCCTTCTTTTATCAATGTGGGATCGGATACCATATTAATATTCATGTGATTCCATCTCAAAACCAATTGGCAATGAGGGGAGTAGCCCATGTCTATTATAAACCATTATTAAGTCCCTTTTTTTTATCAATGTGGGATCCTTAACACCATATACTTTAGATTCTGTCATTAGCGAAGACTTTTAATTTTCTATTATGCTTAAATGGTAGCATATTTCACCACACTATGATTATAAATTTACTAATTTCTTATTAACATTGAATATTTTTATTGAAATCAAACCTCATTCCCAGATAGCGTAAAGTTTCTATTTTTTTTTCAAAGATTATGCAGATAGTAAAAGAAAAAAAACCTTAGTATCATTTGATCGATGAAGCAACAACTAAAAAACTAGAGACAACTAAGTAATTATTTAAATAGCTAATAATCATACTTAAAAGATAAGAAGAAGCAACAAATACATCGTCAAGAAAATCCCAAAACTCACAATATGAATAGAATAAAAGCAAAAGCAAGAAGAAAGGGAAAAAAAAAGATCCATCACACCTAAAATAGGCACTAATAGAATAGAGTAATGGATAAGATTTATCTATGATATGAAAATGAAAAAAGAAACATTAAAAGAAGGGTAAAGAACCCGGATCAAATGTGGATGTTGATAAAAATGCTGAGAACTCAATCGATGCAAATATCGATAAAAATATCAATCAAATATTAATGTCAACATATATATTTTTAGAAAAATTATAAAAGTTAAAAAAATGATTTGTTCTTATATTTTGTCGATTTTCTTACGCTTTTATATCGATGTCGATCTATGAATCAATAGAAATCTCAATATCAATGTAAATATCGACACCCCATCAAAATTGAACACACAAGTAAAGAGAGTTTTATAATTATAATGAGAAAGGGGGATGAAAGTGGATCTTTTAGGGTATCCCCACCAAAGGGCATCATAGCTCATACTGCCAAAGCCAATCTGACAAGTGTGTCTAATACAGCCACAACATTAGTTGCCCCACCCAATTAACATATAACATATTGCACCCCACACCTCCTTTACTTTACATTCACTTACAGATTCCGTCCCTTCTCTCTCCTCTTTCCCCGGTCAAACAAAATTTAGGGTAACATCGGTAGGATATGCCTCGATCGAACGTATAAATCACCTCTGAACTATAAAAATTAGTACACGACGTGTATGAAGTTTTCATTGTAAGAATTAATCAAACTTAGATCGTGTGTTATTGATTCAGTTAAAAATTAAAATTTACGTCTATTGGCTAGTAGACTAGTTTAAAAGAAGCTATTATTTGCCTTATCTGATTGGGTAGACCATTTTATTTCCTTTCATTTTAGTGAAAACAACGTCAATTTGGACAAGTCATAACTTACTAGTTAAAGATACATCTCTAAATTTCTTATTAAGAAGTTGTAGATTTGAATTAAAAAACACTGACAAATTGAAAATTGAACATATATATAACCTATTAAGTTATAAAAAATTTAACGAAGTTATTATATTAACAAGGTCATCCAATTTTTCCAACTATGTGTAAATTAGTTTGAGAGTTAACTTAACAAAAAGTTTGTAGGTGCAGTTGTAAACATTACTCGAATTATAATTTAAGAGTTGGCTTGTACTATCTGTCCAATAAGTTAAAGATTTTTTAATTTTAGCAGTGATTTAACATGACATTAAAACGCTAGAGAATGGAGTTCAAAATAAGCAAATGATAAGATTGAATTATTAAGTTGTAAACCAGATTTGCCCAATATTAAAATGATAGTATTTTTTTTAGGCATTACCAAACATGTCAAGAGAGGTTCAAAGAGAGATGCATGGATGGGAAAAGGGGACATATGATTTGAAAAAAATTTGTCCAAATGGCTTTATGTTAGGACATTGCATTGACCCACCCCACCCCCCATATGGTCTTCCATATTCACAACTTTGTTGGATACAAATAAACTTAAAGTTAAAACTTTTCCGCTCTCGCATCTCTATCATTAATGGCTCTATTAACGACATACATATATGATATAACATAACATGTAGGCCACCGAAATCCAACCATATTATACATATCCTCTCTCTCTTTGCTTTCATACATATGGACGTTTGATGTGTAAGAATGAGAATGTGAAGTTTGAGAATGTGACGTCTGGAGATAAAATTACTGCGTATGATAGCTAATCATGTCGTAGAGATGAGATTTTGAAATATTTTTTTTATTTAATAAATTTAACTATATATATGCAATAATTATATGAAGTTAAAATATTTTTTTAAATTAATTTATACCCAATACTTGAGATATAACTTATAAGTTAGTTTTAGTTTTATTTATTGAATCCTGAACTAATTTGTCCTTTGTTATTATTTGGGTTTCTTTTTCTTTGAAGAAAAAGGAATTGTTGTTGACAAGACAACTATTTTTGTAGTTACGTCGGGTTATTTTATTTATTATTTTTTAGTTTAAGTTTTGGCCTTTTAATTTGGTAGTTTTTCCCGGTTTGATTTTGTGGTTAGATTTTATTATGCCTTTTAGGTTTGTTAATTATTCTTTTTAAAATCAAATTTCGTTTTGACTAAGTATTAAAATTTTATCCAAGTCTTTGCTCAAAAAAAAAAWATATATATATATCCAAAGTCCAATTCTTTCAAATGTTGAAAATTTAATGTTAAAATTGACTCACTAAATTTTTCTTTAAATTTATTGGATTCTGTTATTTAATAAACTCCCCCAACTAAACTTTAAATAAATTACTTCTAATAGTTTAGAATATTGAAGCTGAAATTATAAAGTAGTTTGAAGGATGTGGAATTGAAAAAGAGGCTAACATCATAATTCAACTTATTAAGTTATTTATTTACCACGTGAGTTCGAGTTCCTATCCACACCTGTTATATTAAAAGATAAAGAAAATTTAACTTGTTAAGATATGTATAAATTTTTTATCCAAAAATCCTATGTTGAAATCTTTTACTCTAGTTAAGAACTAATTAGGAAAGAATAATTATTTTATTTATTATTATTATTATTATTGAGAAAGCCTGGGTTTAAAAACTCTAAAGGTTAGGATGTAAACTAATTAAATCATAATTAAATAATTATGGGAAGAATTTCAACCATATATATGTTCTCAAAAAAATAAAAATTCAACCATATATTATAAAGTAATATTATATATAGGCTAAAGTACCTATTCCTATATGGTCGGACTATATCTTAATAACTTGGTCCAATATCTACTTTTTATTGATTTAAAATTGGTATAATATGACGATTAAGAATTTGTGTTTCACACGCCCAATAATCCAAACATAATTCAAGTTAAGTAACATTAATGTTTTTAAAAAAAGAAAAAGAGAATTGCATCGTTCTCAAATATCAATATCCATGGGAGGAGTAACACATGTGTTTTTGACTCTGATACCGTATCAATATTCATGATGTTTCATCTCAAAACCAATTAGCAATGAGAGGAGTAGCTCATGTTTATTATAAATCATCGTAAGGTCTCTCATCTTTTCAATGTGGGATCCTTAACACCCAATACTCATCAATCAAGAGTTATGAAACAAGATTTTATTTACGT